TTGTCTCGCACATTTGAAAAAAAATATTGGCTGCATTACTATTTTTGGTAAAAGCTTGCGAGCCACCAATTAAAGCTTGGGGAGCCGCACAATGAGTATCCCTGCTCTACATTATCCACAATATCTCATTTAAATTTGTCTTTCTCAAAGCAGACAAGCAGTTGATGCCACAAGGCCAAGTTAAAGGTCATATCTGTGGAGAGGCAAGCCCGCCTTTTGTAATAAAACAGGTTTTTCAAGGTAATTTTGAGCAAAACACTTGAATAGAAGTAAAAAAAAAAAAAAGTTTATTGCTTTCGTGTGATAATATCTCAATGGAGCAGAAACAGGTTTTTGTGTCAGAAATCTCTTGAAACCAGTGAAATATTCTAAGGCAAATAAATAATTCATAGTATTCAAGTCAAAACCACTGAAATCTAGATTAATTCAAACTTCAAGTCATTCTAACCAAGACTAGATCTTCACTTTTTGTAGTGTGTGTGGGTAAATGAGCTGACAGTTTTCATCAGAATCACCTCAGAGTCCAGGCTCCGTGCCCAGTGGACTTGACCTTCGCTGACCTCCTGGAGACCACAAAAGCAGGTGGAACATGTGGTGTCGGTTTAAGAGCTCTTCACCTCTCGAATGAAACCGAGGCTGACAGAAACGTGTCCCACACATGGCTCTGATTATCTCATTTCCTCGTGCGGCAAAGATGTCACATCATATTTTCAGCTCTTTTGCGCTTGTGTCTGATATATAGTTGTAATCTACGACACACTTGGATTATTATGTTGTAAGTTGTACATTTTGAATCACAGTATTGACCTAAAATGACGTAATAAAAGAAACAAGTCTGACTTCCACGTTAGAAAATCGAGATGTCCAATGCGAGCAGATGATCACAACAAGATCATGCTGCCAAATCTTACACGTATGATTGACTAAGAAAATAAATTGAAGAACAAGTACGTACGTCACAGCGGGTGTAACTTGGTGTCAGTGAAAATGGAGGTTGATCACTCAATCACTGATTTAAGGACCTTTACTGTTGACCAAAATATATTCTAAAGTTTTGATTCATGAAAGTGTCCACCTTTGGCAGATATAACAGCTGAACACACTCGTGGCTCGTTCTTTTTACAACAGAAAATCAAACATTCTTCAGAAAGTTCTTCCCAAATCTGTCGCAGAAGTTCCCATAAATGTGTGGCACTTGTAGGTTTTTTTGGCTTTCACTCTTCTGTCCAGTTCATCCCAAACCAGCTCGATGGGGTTTAAGTCTGGAGACTGTGCTGGACACTCCATGTTTTCAATCTTATCCTTTTTCCTGAGGTAGTTTTGGCAGAACTTGGACTTATGTTTTGTATCTTTTATCTTCTTTTTTTAAACCTCTGTCTGTTCAGTTCTTACCTTTGTACCATTTCAAGATCTTCACTGGACTTGCACGACTTGAATTGGTAATAAATAACTGAAAAATTAGGGTGTTCTAAAACTTTTGACCGGTAGTGTACCAGGAGTGTGTTCTCTTTCATTCACATGTTTGAGTAATCCTTTATTATTAGTCTGTTTATATCTTCAAAGCTCAACGTGCTCTGTTCCACCTTGTGATGTCATGTAGTTTTCAAGTTAACAGCTCCTTTTACCTTTAGTTTAGCGGAGACTGGGGCTGAAATCATCCAAACGATTCTGGTGAAGGGGTATGAAGTTTTAAAACACAGATAAGCACTTCTTCTATTACCACATGTGTAACACTTGTGGTCAACAATAAAGAGGCTTCAGAGAGTCGATGTTTACTTCCATTTATTGCCATATGCACTGAAACACAAGAGAGACGTGTACAAGGGCGTAGGTTTGGTCTCAGCTTTAGTGGGGACATTATCAGCTAAACCCCCCCATATGTTTTATGAATTCTTTCCAGAAACACACAGAGTCTGGGCAGGTCCAAAATAAGTGAGAGGTGGTTTAATTTTTCAGTTCACAAATGTACATTTTGTGTCCATTGTCCTTCTATGATGATTCTTTAGCAGATAACAGCGATGTAGAAGTTTGTAGCAGATTTCCCTTTGCTTGTTGGTGATGAGATATTTGTGAGGTCATGTCCAAACATTTTTCCATGGAATATTGTCAGTAGAGTCGGGTTGCTCACAGTTGCACGAGTAGAGCTCCGTTTGGGAGGTGCACTTGTGGTGATAGTCGCTCTTTTTCTGCAACTCATTATAAGACAAGTTTAATTGAAGATGAAGCCAAGTAAGTTCTTTTGGAAAAGTTTTTCAAAGTTTGGTGGGCAGCGTCTTCACTCACGCCTGCTCAAGACGCCGCCTTCAGGTGCTGGTCCTGTCCTGCCGCTTCCCCAGTTTAGGCTCCTGGCTCCACTAATGACATCACTCTGTTACAGCCAATGAAATAGCGGCAGGAGTAACCCTGTCATCATATCACTGAATACATCTCAGAACGTCTAATAAACAAAATGTGAACTAAAACATGTTCAATTAATACTACTGAGTTTGGAAAAATATTGGTATAAATTAATATTTTTGTTTACTAAAATAAAATGGCACATATTGTTAGGGACTATTTTGTCTTCCCCAAATATTGATTGTGACATGTCCCCACTGTCCCTGTGCAAACCTACGCCCTTGCACATGTATTGTATGTCTGTTGTAATTAGGTTATACAATAGAGGATGCTTCTTGTGCACATTAAAAAATAAAATGTCTCTTATACAAATCTTATATAAAGTAATAAAAAATATGAGGTGGTGGAGCTTTCTAATCTATTATCATTCTAACACAGCATTACTACTGCAAGAAGAACTATGCAGAGTTTGTGTGTTAATATTGTGAATTAAATAAAACACAACTCCGGGTCTGTTTTTGCCGAGGAAACAACATTATAACATAGCTCAGAAAATAATGTAATAAAGGTCCTTGAAAGTCCAAACCGTGAGTTGCCAGTCCACACCTCTGCACTCAGCTCTATTGTACTTTGCAGCAGACTCACACCGCTGTGCGCTAATTTAACAGTTCTCTTACCTGAGTGAAAGCTGAGTGACAAAAGCTTTATGTTGTTGCCAGAATTAAATGATGTGAGCGTTTCTGATTTTCACCGCCCCTTCAGACACGATTTAGTTTCTGTCCTTCCAACTGAATTAACATCAAATTAAATCAGATGTTGCCTTTTACCTTACAATTACTCTTACTTCATAATAACACTTTTTTAATCTTACTTGAGTCATTTCTTGGACTACTGCTTTGTACTTTTACATGAGTAATACTATTTTGAACTACTTATACTGATGCTAATTGTAGGCACTGCTCTGTCTGAAGCTCTGTTAAGTTGCATTCAGACAGTGGCATCGAAAAACAAGCTGGATGATTTTTAGTTGGAGCCTTTGCGTTTGAGTCCAGAAGCCCTGAAGGAGGCGAGGAAAAATGCTTGAGGTGTGTCCAGGGTGTCCACTGTGGTCTGCTTGTTTTCACGGTCGAGAAACTAGCTTTAGTCTGTCGACCGTTCAACTGCAGATTTTTTTTGAAAAATAGCAGGTCTTGGGTCTAGTCAATAATAGAAATGATCAGGTTCCATATTTGGGAATTTACCTTTCAGATTTTTTGTTTTTTTGTAAAGTGCAATATAATTAAAAGGAAAACTTGTCTCTTGCCCCCCATCTGAGGCCCCATCCACACTAGTATGTATTCGAGTCGTTTTTGTTGTGGATGCAGTGTTCGTCCACACTAATCCGATTGAAAACGGCTCTAGAGACGAATGATCTAGTGCCGCCAGCTCCCACAAATTCATTTGAGTACAGATCTGATACAGCACTGCGTGGACGCCTGATACACTGATGTAGGTCTATGAGCCACAAAGTAATTCACTGCCAAAACACTAAGAGGCTAGAATATATGTCCATTCATATATATACGGTCTATGCGTATGACCTGCAGACGTATAATCTCTCAAAAGTTTAACATGAACCATCTCCAACGCGATAGAAGCACAGAACAGACTCACCATCAGCAGAACACCCCTCTGTCACAGAAAGAACACTCATATTCCACTGAGTCGTGTCCTTTAGTCTGACAGAAGCTGAACCGCATCAGCGCACAATAGCGAGCTGTTTTGAGCGCTCAGTTTATGTAAATTAGCCATGTGGTTTTAAATTTAGTTTCTGTAAAACGTAAACAAATATGCTCAAAGCTGTGTGGATAGGGAAGGCTGGATATGGACGCAGATCGTTTCCAATACGGTGATATGTTGATACGTGGATGTGTTTCTGTGTAAACAGGGTCTGAAAGTATAACATCACCACATTCTAGCATTTGAAAACCACCTCCGCTAATGACACAGCATAGATTTCTTGTTATAGTGTATGTAGCTCCAGAGTCTTTCTCCTTCTTCTCCTTCTTAATAATAAAATTAATGACATCGCTACATCACTGGAAAGTAGTTCCTGACTTGTTGACAAAGAGTGTCCGACGACAAAAGTTCAGCTTTTTCTCCTTCTGGCCTCGGATGCTCAGGACTCGCAACCAAAAGCTGAAAGTCTTACTCCAAATTCTCATCACTCTGACGCCTGAAAATGCGTCGCAAAAACGCAGGATGCCCTAGATGCACGTCCACATAGACTTGTAAATGGCATGTAAACTGGACACTCTGACACGCTGGTCTAAACTCAGCTTTAGACATTAAACTGAGCTTTGTTTTAACACAATATGACCATAAAGAACTGATTATTTCTAAACAGGTGAACTGATTTGTGCTGTTTTTCAGTTTGTCACTGTCAACTTTGAGCTTAAGGACCATGAATGCTTGTACTGATCATGGACTTTTCTTGAGTTTTCAGACTGTAGATTTAAGATAGTCTGAAAACTCAAGAAACTTAAGATAGTTCTCAAGATAGTTTTAGCTGTGTTAATAATATGTGCATTGCATTGTGTCACCATGGCAACTTCTAAACTAAACATTCCACCACACACATACATGCTGAACACCCCCAGCACGATGTATCAATATTAACTCACCCCCTGTGATGGTTGTGGGGGGCAGGCTGACGGGGTAGGTGGCTCTCACAGTCTGTTTGTTCTTGAGCAGGACCTCACAGGTGTAGTTCCCGGCTGACTCCGCCCGCACAGGTAAAGGGACGGAGGTGGTGATGGAGCCCGGGCTACCGTCCATGTGGAGGTGCACGCTCTGGTTGGGGTGAGTCCAGGAGGCTCTGAGGACCTGGGACAGCTCCGAGTATCTGCAGTCCAGCTCCAGCTCTGTGGACAACCTCCGGGCTTTTACTGGAAATAAGGAGAATAAAACAGCAGAGGAAAAATGTCAGAAGTTGTAAGGTCAAATGTAATGCTGGAAAGTAACTAATCACAAATATTTGAGAAGTTCACTTGTACGTCTAATTTTGTAGCATTTGAATCAGTTTTTTATGTTTACTCATTTCTACATTTTATACACATACAAAAGACATGGAATTATAGCACAAGAAAAAAGTTAAATAAATACTAAATATACAAGGTGTCCCAAAAATTTGACATCATTTCGTAGGCCTATAATTTAGGCAGTTCTTGTTGAAATAAACTCAAATTTTCACAAAATGTACAGAAACAGATCAAGATTTTATATCCAGTGTATTTTTGTTCTGTTTTCAGGTTGAGCCGTGCCGTTCGCTCCCAAAGAGAAGTTATTTTGCGTCTTGGAATCTGCTCACACACACTCACCCAAAACTGTGCAGCCTTTAATGCAAAATTTGGAAACACTTCACCAACTGGCAAAGAAATTTGGATTTGGTACCAAAAATTTAAAGAGGAAGGCTGCTTATCCAGGGCTAAAGGATCTGGCACACCAAACCGTCATTCGAGGAATCTGGGTATCCAAACTTGTTCTCCTTATGGACTTCTTGTTTTTCCATGAACTTACGCGACCTTCTCTTCTGATGTTGACGATGGTTTACCAAATCCTTTTTTGGATTTGGGTGAGTGTGTGCGAGCAGATACAAAGACGCAAAATGACTTCTCTTTAGGAGCGAACGGCGTGGCTCAACTTGAAAACAGAACGAACATAAAACATTAAATATAAAATCTTGATCTGTTTCTATCAGGGGTGTAATGATATCCAAGCCTCACAATATAATATCATCACGGTATGAACCTCACGGTACATTTATTGCGATATCGTGGGAAAGCTCACGATTCGGGATGTAACAATATCCAAATCTCTCAATACGATATTTTCATGATGTACATCTCATGGTACGATATTTATTGCAATATTTTGTGGAGGCTAAACAGCTAAAACTGTTAATATGTTACTTTTTCCTCTTAAAATGCTTCGACAAGACTTAATCCAAAGAATTAAGACTTAAAAGTGCTTAGAACTGTTATTTCTTCTTGTAGTCTACACTGAAATGGAGCAAAGGATCATGGTCTATGTAGTTCCTTCTGTCTTTTTTTAGCTATTGCTGCACCACAACTCTTAATTTAAGCAAAGAGACTTGTAATTCGATATATTGTGATGCTCCAAGATATTATTGTGAGAACTTTGACAATACGATATCACGATATTTCGGTTATTGTTATATCCCTTGTTTGTATACTTTCTGTGAAAACTTGAGGTTATTTCTGCAAGAATTGCCAAAATTATTGCCCTATGAAATGTCAAATTTTTTGGGACACCCTGTACATTATTGTTATATTAGTAGTATAGTTAGTAGAGTAGTAGTATAGTAGTAGAGTTTCATACATCTTACTTCACACATCTGATGTTTTTCTAGGTATTTTTGAGCTATAAAACCACCTGTAATCGAATAAATGTAAGATAGAACTGTTTAATGTTGGACTGATTCATCAGCCGGTTTCACTTCGTAGAAACCGTCTGACCTCACAACATTAGAATTCGTTTGCTTGACGGTAGGCGTGTACTTTTTTAAATTTAACCAATCGCTGCTTGTTCGTGACCCATGTTTTTTGTTTTCCCTCAAATGAAACAGAAACTGCACACCAAAGTTCTTGTGGAGGTGCAAATGCAAAGAATAGCAAAATAAAAGTGAAAAAATGCATCGCACACTCAGATGGCCAATGTCCAAAAGCTTTTTATTTTTATTTTTAAATAACGTTTTGGCAAAAAAAAAAAAAAAAAAAAAAAAAAAAAAAGCCTGTATTTTATTGTTATATTTTATATTCAAATCCTCAAAGTAGCCAACCTTTGCTTTGTTGAAAAATAGTAGTTGAGTTTCATCCATCTTACTTCATACATCTGATGTTTTTCTAGGTATTTTTGAGCTATAAAACCACTTGTAATTGAATAAATGTAAGGTAGATTCATCAGCCAGTTTCACTTCGTAGAAACCGTCTGACCTCGCAGCATTAAATTTCGTTTGCTCGATGGGAGGTGGGATTTTTTTTTTCATTTAACCAATCGCTGCTATTTGGTCGTGACGTATGTAATGCACCGCTAACAGGGGGGACTGGTATATAAAGTTTTTCCCAAATCCCGTAGGAAGAAGGGCAATAATGTCTTTCCCCTTGATAAAATTCACCAAACATTCTCATTGTTCCTGTTTTAAATCCTTGATCTTGGGAATCATTGCCAACATAGAATGTCTGACTCTTCGCTAATTGGCCGGTGCCTGAACTTGTATTTCTGAGGTTTTTGCAAACCGTCTAGTGTATTCTGATTCCTGACCTAGTCACTGGAGAGAAATGAAATTGAGCAGAGGCACTAGGTGGCGCCAGTTTTCCAGACAGAGCAGTGACATATTCATAGAAACAAGCAGGTGACGGACCCCCGACCAAAAAGTTACACAGTTCACCTTTAAAATATTTATTTTAGTTGGAAAAGATAGATTTTAGTCAACGCAATGTGTTAAAAAAAACAAAAAACACAAAGAAACGGAGTCACAATCCAAACACGTGTGAGTGTGGAGGAGAAACGCCGCAGAGACGCCACAGTTAAAGGGTAGTGTGTGAATACAGAAAAGGCCAAGGACGCATCAAGAGTAATGGTCTTAATGGGGAGGTGATATGAAAAACACAGAACAATGGCGCGCGGAGGGTCAAAATAATATATATTCATTAAAGGGATTGGCGTCTGATACATGTGCTGCAGGTGACTGATGCTGAAGTGTCTCATCAGAGCGAAATGAGAATCCATCGTAACGCAATCAGCCTCCGTAAACACACATGTACGCACACGCACACGCACACTCCAGCCATGATTAGAGTGATCAGAGGACCCCCTATTGCCGTGGTGGGAGGGCTGCAGGTATAATCACATATAATGACACCTGTAATGAGGCTGGGGTAAAAATATAGGTGTCACATATGATTACTGACAACGCGGTGGAAATAGGAAATCCGTCACAGGCGAAAAGGATTTAGATTCAGAATTGGGATTTGAGTACGTCTGACTGGAAATTGTTTAAAGGACTGATTACATAAAAGAGAATGGAATGTTTAAAATAATAAAAAAAAACAATACACACTAAAAATGCATTTAGACATTTAATCTTCAAAGGCCCATATGACGCTATATATTTTCTGATTTATGATGTAATTTTGTTTTGTTTTCACTCAAATAAAACAGAAAATGGAAAAATGCAGACCAAAGTTCAAATGCACAAACAACAACAAAATAAAAGTGAAAAAATGCATCGCACACTCAAATGGCCGATGTCCAAAAGCTGTTTTTTGTTTTTAAATAATGTTTCAGCAAAAAAAAAAAAAAAAAAAAAAAACCTTCGTCAGATATTCTTCTTTCTTGTTACTGTGGTCCAAAGTAAGAAAAATATCTAACGAAGGCTTTTTTTTTTTGGCGAAATGTTATTTGAAAATTTTAAAAAAGCTTTTGTTTTCACTCACACAAGTTTCACTCGCAAACCTTGCATTGTCGAGTTCTCAGAGTTGAGGACTTGCAACTCGTGACTTGGACTCGAGTCAGACTTGAGTCACTATTTTTAGGACTTGAGACTTGACTTGATAAAAGAGACAAAGACTTGGGACTCAACTTGGACTTGAAGGTCAGTGACTTGGGACTTGACTCGGACTTGAAGCCTGTGACTTGAGAAGACTTGATGCTTAAACTAGTTGATAAATTAAGTAGTTATTAAGCACTTTTAAATCTTAACTCTGTCTGTTCTTGCACTTTTGTCAAGACATTTAAAAAGAAAAAAACTAGCATAAAAAGCCATACCAAGGCGTTTTAAGGACAATTTAATTTAACATTCAAATAAATTGCAAAAATCTAAGCTATATATTTAAAGACTTGAAATGACTTGAAGCTCAAAGCAGACGACTTGGCCTTGACTTGACTTATGAGCCAGTGACTCGAGATTTGACTCGGACTTGCCCGTCTTTGATTTGGGACATGACTTGGATTTGAGGTCAAAGACATGAGACTTACTTGAGACTTGCAAAACAACGACTTGATCCCACCTCTGCGAGTTCTTCTCTCAAACTGAAAACACTCTATTCCACCTTGTGATGTCATGTGGTAATACAGGATGTGCTCCACTGTGTTTTTTACACCTTCACTAGAATTATTTGAACAATTTCAGCCAATTAATCTCTACTGAACAAAAGGCAAAAGGTAAAGCCGTAAATTACCAACTTACCAGACATCACAAAGTGGAACAGAGCATTTTGATCTTTGGAGGTGAAGACAGACAAAGGTCCTGTTTACACAAGAACGCTGGCGGGTAAAAATGTCAAAATATTTTATCGGAAATGCCTTTCGTTTAGACGGTGATGGCATTTTGAGAGCTTAAAAACACAAAAATCTAAAACCACCCTCCAGAGTGGAAAAGTTTAATACTACACTCTGCTGTAGTGTTTCCATCTACACCTCCCAAGACGCAAAACTCTGCTCAGATCTGCTCACGTCGCGTAAGTGTTTACGTCACATACATCACCACATAGCGTCACCACCGAGCCGCCTGGCAGGCAAACCCAATCGAATTCCACACACTTTTGCGTCACCGTATGCACGCAGATTTCCTCCTTAAAACACTCGTCTAAATAAATAAAATAAAAATAAAATAAAAAGTGAAGACGCCCCGCCACTTTTGCATCTTCTGTTCATCATATAAACGTGACCTAATAATAAAGAATTACTCAGACATGTGTGAATGAAACAAAACTCAACTCTGGGTCTGTTTTTGATGAGGTAACAACATTATAACACGACTTAAAGCTCACAAGGGTCAATTTTGCACAATGTAGTAATTTACTTTTGAAATATTTAATGGCAAAGTACAATGTCATCAACAGGAAAATCTGTACTCTATGAAATTACAGTCATATTCTGTAGTCGACGCACTTTAACCCAGGCTAGATTCAGTTTTTTTGCAGTAAGTCTGTGTGTGTGTGATTGTGTGTGTGATAGTGTGTGTCGGGAGGGGGCCGGTGTGGGAGCACAGGGGGACAGTGACAGTGAGGGATGGTCCTGGTCACGTCTCAGCACATGTGATGGATGTCAGCTTTGTGGTGATTAGTAAAGCTTCCCAAGGCCCCCCGTGACAGCACCTGTTTGTGAGTCCGCTTTGGTAAATACACTTCATCCTCTGCGTAAACACAGGCAGCAGGCTTTAGGCACAAGGCAACACGTTACTGCCGGTTTGAAGTGCGGGTGTGAGGTAGAACTATTTAATAGCTAGACCTTAATTAGACTTAATTAAGCATGAATGGTAAATGGTCACAGTTGTACAGCGCTTTTCCACCTTCAAGACACTCGAAGCACTTTTCATCACAGAGCCACTCACCCATTCACACACCCAGTCACACACACATGCAGATACGTCAATGAGCCATGACTATAATATCACAGACTTTTACAATACATTACATTTACAACATGTTAGACCAATGCCCAATGGTTGTGTTTATTTGCCGCTTCTTTCAAGTCAATGGTCCGAACATCTCAAATGTCCAGAGCCAGTGTTGGGAAGGTTACTTTTAAAATGTATTCCCCTACAGATTACAGATTACATACCCCAAAGTGTAGTTTGTAACGTAAAGTGAGTAACGTAATCTAAATACTTTAGATTAATTGATTTGCTGTAGAGAAGCAAAGACGAGGATCTTCACATAAGATGTTTTATGTGCTAAAAGAAAATTTTAAAAAATCCAGACTTTACTTAACCATATTAAAAATATTATTGATAGAAGAGGAGGAGACACGTCCGTGCAGCATGATTTAGTCCTGTTAAATCCTGTTTTAGACTTGGTTTAGTCCTGGTTTAGTCCTGGTTTAGACCTGGTTTAGTCCTGGTTTAGTCCTGGTTTAGTCCTGTTAAATCCAGTTTTAGACCTGGTTTGGACCTGGTTTAGTGTCTGGCAATGAGTGGAATTACCGAGAGAGAGAAAAAAAAAAAAAAAAAGGGATATAGCCCAAAATGTGAAAACAGGAAAAGACCACCATGTAATCCATTTATTTCAACAAAGTAACTGTAATCCAATTACCACTCATTAAAACAGTAACTGTAACTGAATACACTTACTCATAATTTGTACTCTGATTACGTAACTCTGGTACATGTAATCTGTTACTCCCCAACACTATCCACAGCTCAACTGTCTACAGCTGGCCCTTCTCCGTGGATACAGGAAAAACTAAATCAGTTCATTACTTCTGTATTCCTACTACTACTACTACTATCACTACAACTACTAATGCCACTAGAGGTGCTCCGATCGATCAGACACCGATCATTGATTAGATGATCAAGGCAAAATTAATGTGGTCGGTGATCTGCAAAACTGGCCAATAAGACGTAACGATCACCCACATAGATAATTAATGAGCAGGCGCATTATTGGCTTAAATTGACAGCAAATTCCATTGATTTTATTCATTCATTCATTCATTCATTAATCACTGCATTTATGTATAGTGCCTTTCAAGACGCCCAAAGTGCTTTACAGTTCGTTGTTCATTCACTCAACACTCAGTAGTGGTAAGATAGTATCACAGTCACATCTGCCCTGGGACAGACCGACAGAAGCGAGGCTGCCAATCAGCACCATCAGCCCCTCCAACCTCCACCAACACTCACACACACTCCACTTATCTTACTAGGCAATGTAAGTGAAGTGTCTTGCCTAAGGACACAACAACAGTTTTTGCGGTCTCCCGTCCAAGTACTACCCAGGTCCGGCCTCTGAGCTTCTGAGATCTGACAGGATCAGGTTTTGACAATGAAGCTGCAACAACTTTTGGATTTGGGTCAAACTTCATATCATTAACAGCTTATATTATTCTTTTCAAATAATTAAATGGTTTGCATCACTGTATCAAAGTCCATGAGATTAGTATCGCCCGGAATTGGTAATGGTAATGATCTAAATAAGGGTCCGGTCAAGTGATAACGGAGGGAAACAGGGACAGATTTTTTTACATTCAAATAGCTCTTATTCAGAAACTAGAGGGACTATTGATATAAGTAAAGTATCAGAATGTAGGAAAGAGTTACACTCCAACAGGGTAAAGTTAAACCTGTGATATTCTTTCAAGTTGTTGACAAAAAATTTTAAAATTCATGTCGGTAACGGAGGGAATGAAATATGCAGCACTTTTTGGGCAATAAATACAAACAGTGATAACTCTTGGTTCTCACTTACATATCCTTAACAAACTGGTTTGAATATTTGCTTCATATAGTTTTCTACCATATGGTACAAGATTAGGTTGAAAAACCTCTTACTTTTTGAGTAATGAGATTTTTTATGAAGAAAGGTCATGGTAACGGAGGGAAAATTGTGCAAGCAAGTAGAAGGTGCATGATTTTGCATAATTTGTCAGCTTTTTTCTTTAATATTACTTCAAAATGAAAGGAAACTATTTCTATAAAATATGTCAGTCCTTCCAAGCAAATTTTTATCATTTTAAATAATTTTTTTTTTGAAAAATCATGTACCTTCATCAACAGTTCAAAGATGGAATAACACAAGATATGATGAAATACATCCATTTATTTACATGATTTGCAGGTCTTTGAAATTTGGGAAATAATTTTTGTTCCATGTTTCATACATGGTCTGTTTAAAACATATGTAACTTTAGAACCAAAAATGGTACAGAAAAAAGGTAAACAGTTTCATAAACTAGAGTACATATGTATCTGTTCAATACATTTTTATATCAGATGCATTAACTTGAATTTTTGGCCTTGCTGTTTACTTCTGCTTGATCGGGCCGATAAGTTGAATAATTTTTTGATCAACCTCAAAAATCAGAACGTCTTTAATTACTACCAGTCACTTAAATTTGTTAGTTTTTTAGTACTTTTCAATTTTGCCATCATTTTCTGTTGTCATTGGTGTATTTTTTCTTTCGCAAAACATCAAAACTGTAGCATTTCTTCCCCTAAGAGTCTACTTTCTACTGTGTATCTATGCGTCACAAAAGAGAACATTTTCATTCCAACTACCCACTAAGATAAGTAAAAGACCAGAGCCCACAAGAATCCACTTATAATTATCACCAGAGCAAATGCCTGCAGCAACATCGTGCTCCAATTTGTGCCTATATTATTTCTTCTGTTTCGTATTAGCAGAGTTTAATGACTTTATTGGCAGCTCTGACCCACAATCATATTATTTGATGTGGTATTTACCTTTGGGTCCTATTCCCAGCCCGTAGCCAATAAAAACGTATTAAAATGGAACAGCAATTCTCCGTCCTTTTTATTCAAACACTGCATTTTATTTCGCTTGCCATTTAACCACAGTAGATAAGAGATAAGGAGACTATGATCACAGATTGTATTGTGTTGGTTTAAGATAGCCCGCAGACAGCTATGCAAACAACGTCAAGAATCCCTGTTGACTTTTGGTGCCATTTACTTTGATGGGCCCCTGACATAAACCAGGGACAGGGCCTCCTATGAAGTGATACTTAAAAGGTGGTCTCAGATAAGGTAATTCTCACTGTAGAAAGAACATAAAGACTTCAAAACCAAAAGAGCATACAGACATTTAAAGAATACAACCCAAAAGGCCTGAGTCCTGTGAGGGAATTGTAAATATAGTTTAAAGATTTGTTGTGTAGCAGTAAAGAGTACAAGAAAATATTATGCAAAATTGTGGTTTAAATCATGTTAAAACAGTTTACCCAAAGTTGCATTTTGATATTTTCATGTGTGTTTGATAGGGGTGTAAAGGTACATGTATTTGGTGCAGGGCTGTGCACAAGTGAATTCACGCAATTTGTGTGTGTTTACATTCCACCACTACATGTGCAGCTACACAGAAGACTCGGCTCTTTAATATTCACGAGGGAACTCGTCCATGATTGGGGTGGCAGTGTTTCCTTCAGCGCTTTAGGGCCTGGCTCTACTGCATGCGTATTTTGCCCTACACAAGAGTAAAAACTGCAACTTTTGGATGCGTAACTTTTAGAATGCATGGAAAGTGAATGAGGGCGGCACCACTGCGCGCACTATACGCGTGTCTGGGGCAGTACGTCCTGCGCACGTAGATTTCAGAAAATAGGATCCATACTATTTTTTAATGCTCTACACGAGCGTAGGGGCATATCCCCAGCAAAATACACAGAGAGCATGCATCTGTTGTTGTATTTGTGCGTTTACCATCAGCACAACGTGCTCCTGGGGCAGATCTGTGTCGTGTGAAAGAGCCCAGGACCAGAAATTGAAATTTACTTTTGAAATCCTCACATTTGCCTTGGTGAGCCTGTACAGAAGGTAAATACAATCCTGTTCAGCTGTTAGTTTCACTGCAGACCTGATACAAGCAGCTAAACGCCCAGTCAACTTTGATCTTCTTTCCCATTGACAAACACGGCGCCAGTGCAGCTGCCGGTGGAGCCGCCCCAGCGCAGCTGTGGTTTCGTGAGGTTATATGCGTAAACACTGACGCTTGCAGTGGAGCCAGGTCTTTATACTTATGGTGACTGCCTTGACAACAATTGCTTCCGCCTTGACCACGTCCCTAAGAACCACGTGAGTCCTCGCAAAACTACGGTTGTCGCTTGCTAGAAAAACAGGCATTCTGAATGTGAGCAGGGTCGCCTCTCTACAGATCTGACCTGTAACTTGGCCTGGTTTGGTCTCCATAAAGATAGAAAAGATTAATACCATACTGTGAAACATTCTAAACAAAGAAATAGCATCTCCATGGAGGAAAGTATTTGAAGGACTCTCCACCAGAAAAGTTACACAATGTACCTTTAAAGCTCAGAAGAGTCAATTGCATGTGATATAAAAACAAACACCAAAAGCAGTGTTACATGTTTTTACCTTTGACGACAGTGAGCACGGTGCGCTGGCTGTATCTGTTGTCATTGGAGTAGATGTCACAGATGTACATTCCTCCGTCTTTGAGCGTGGGCGTGAGGAGGTAGGAGAAGCTGCCGGCCTGAGCGTTGTACGGGGGTCCGGCCAGCTGGAGCCTCTTATTGTGCTCCGTGCTAGTGAAGCCCCTCCAGCGGTCGAACTGATGCACCAGCTTAGTGGCGCTCTGACGCGTGTCTGACGGTCTCCAGTACAAAAGCACGAAGTCTCCCGGAGGCTTGGGGCAGGTCAGGAGGAACACGGACTCGGCCTCGACCGCTGTGGAGATCTCATCACCTGTCAATGCAAAATAATCTAATGTGAAATGTATGCAGTGATTTACTCTACCAGTCAAAAGTTTGGACACACTTATTTGTTTATTTTTCTTTTTTATTTCCATGATTATTTGTATTTGCACTGGAAAATCACATTCAGAAAGATTTTATTTGGACAGTCGGCCTTTTCAGTCCTGGAATCTGGTCCCCACAGAAAATTAGGAACATGACCTCTACCCTGAGCTTTAGTTGATCTGTGAAACAACAACTTCTAGACAATCAGACAAGAGAAAATACAGCAAATGTCTCTGTCTTGTTGTGTTGGAATTTGGGTCTGTTGTCTTTAATGTATGTGCTGTGTGCGCATGACAACAGCAATATTCACTGATCTTAATCTCTTCGTCATGTGTGATGGACTGAAAGTTTTGTTCCTATGTCCTGTTTTTTGTCTTGCCATCAACCTGCCAATGAGACTACGGATGAAAATGAGCCTGCATGTCAAACTCTCGTCCATTTACTGTACATCAGGAGTCTCCAACCTATTTCTCGGGAGCTACCTGCACCTCTCCATCTCCTTCCAAGTAGCTCGCAAAGGGATTTCTGAATCATATGTATTTGATTTGATTAAATGCCTCTTACCACTGTAAATGTATGATTCAGATGCCTATATTTGTACACTAATAAATATAACAGGGTAACACTTAATAATAACAACACATTAATAAAGCATGAACAAAGACTTAATTAATAATGGACAAAGACTTAATTAATAATGATTCATGCTTAGTAAATGCTTAATAAAGGATAATTCATCTTCACTTTAGAAAAGCTCTCAAAAAGACTTAACTAACAGATAACAGCTGCCTGAATTATCATTACATTGCATTATTAGTAAATCATTCTCTCATAGCTTATTAATGATTAATAAATGCTCAAATGGTTAGTTCATGAGTAATTAAGTATGAAATAATTATGAGTAACTATTTACAGCACAGGCAAATTAAGTGCAAGTGCTAATTATGGTAGTAATTAAGTAGTTACTAAGTGTGAATCATTATTAATTAAGTCTTTGTTCATGCTTTATTAAGGCTAAATAAGGTGTAGTTATTATAAAGTGTTACCTATAACAGTTGTTTTATAGGCAATTGTATCCCATCTAAGGCTCTTATATTTACTCCATTTCTTATGACTGCTAAATAAGTTGCTCTCTGGCATTTTCATTTTGTAAGAGTAGTTCACCAGAGGAAAAAGTTGGAGAACGCTGCTGTACAAACACATGTTGATCAATGTGCTCTGTCCCACATTTAATAAATAAACATAAACATTCTGAAAGCATCAAAACTGTAGCCAGACTGGTGCCACCTATTGCCTCTGCTCAATTTCATTTCTCTCCAGCGACTAGGTCAGGATTCGGAATACACTCAACGGTTCGCAAAAACCCCAGAAGTGCGAGTTCGGGCACCAGCCAATCAGCGAAGAATCAGACATTCAGTGTTGTCAACGATTCCTGAGATGGAGGATTTAAAGCTGGAACAAAGAGAATGTTTGGTGAAATTTATCAAGGGGAAAGACGTTATTGTCCTTCTTCCTACGGGATTTGGGAAAAACTTAATATACCAGTTAACTCCCGACCAAATAGCAGCGATTGGTTAAATGATAAAAAGTACCCGCCTACTGTCGAGCGAACGAAATCTAAGGCTGCGAGGTCAGACGGTTTGTACGAAGTGAAACGAAGTAAAACCGGTCGACGAATCAGGCTTTCAAAACTGTGAATGACACGTGGAATGCAGTAAACAAAACAAAAATAAGCTCAAAGTAACCCAAAACATGTCTTAGATAAAAATAAAATTAGAACATTCTCTTTGATTTGATCACTGATTTGCACATTTGGTATTTCTTGACCCTGACGTGGCACAGCGGTGAAAAGAAAATCATTTCAGGAGATTGTCATCATAAAGCTCATTGAAAGAAGACCAAGGGTTTGCAGAGCTGTCGACAAATCAAAGGATGGATACTTTGAGGATTTGAATAAATATTTAGTTGAGTTATTTAACTTTTTTCTTTAAGTATATAAAATGTAGAAAGTAGTAAATGCACACTGAACGAGAGCGTGTACAAACTTTTGACCTGTATTGCATATTTATTAAATTATTAGCAGGAATGTTTTACAGAAGTGGCATCTCGACACTTACATCAAGGGCACTCACTATAACAGAAAAGCAGCTTTGTGTCTATTTAAACTCCCACATTTGTTCCTAGTTCAAAAAGAACTTTTGCTACTACTATTATTCTTCCTGAAGAAGAGCGTAATCCATCAGCGGCTTCATCATATCCAGCAGGAAAAGCTTAAACACAGTTATCTCAATATTACAATAGAAGTCGATCCTAAAAAAATAAAAGGATGTTTCACAAATGAAGCAGACACATTTCTGCGGAGTATCAAATTACTTCCTGCGACAGATACCAGAGTAATGAGGGCGAGCAGTATCAGGAGGGCACAGGCACGAAGAGATAAGGAACGAGAGAGAGGAGGGGGAGAGAGAGACAAAGAGAGAGAGGGAGAGACAGAGAGAGTGGTGGGGGGGGGAGGGGGGAGAGAGAGGGAGGAGAGGAGGGAGAGAGAGAGAGAGGAGAGAGAGAGAGAGGAGAGAGAGAAAGAGAGCAGAGAGAGACAGAGAGAGAGACAGAGAAAGGGAGAGACAGAGAGGGAGAGGGACAGAGGAGGGAGAGAGAGAGGGAGAGAGGAAGGAGAGAGATACAGAGAGAGAGAACGGAGGGAGAGAGAGACAGAGGGAGAGAGAGAGAGAGAGAGAGAGACAGAGAGAGAGGGAGAGAGGAGGGAGAGAGAGGGGGGAGAGCGAGAGCATATGAGTGAGAGAGGGAGAGAGAGGGGGGAGGAGGAAGAAAGAGAGAGGGGAAGGGAGAGAGAGGAGGGAAAGAGAGAGAGAGGGAGAGAGAAAGAGGGGGAGGAGAGAGAGAAGGGGGAGCGAGAGAGAGAGAGAGAGGAGCTGAGGGAAAAAGAGAGAGAGGGGAGGTAGAGAGAGCATGAGTGTGAGAGAGTGAGAGAGAAAGTTAAGGGAGAGAGCGTGTGAGAGAGAAAGAGAAAGAGAAAAGAGAGAGAAAAAGCGAGCGAGAGAGAGAGAGAGTGTGTGTGTGTGTGTATGTGTGTGAGAAGAGAGAGAAAGAGAGAGACAGAGAGAAAGAGACAGAGAGAGAGGAAAGAGAGAGAGTGTGTGAGAGATACGGAGAGACAGAGAGAGTGGTGGGGGGGAGGGGGGAGAGAAAGGGAGAGAGGGGGAGAGGGGAAGAGAGAGAGAGAGGAGAGAGAGAAAGAGAGGAGAGAGAGACAGAGAGAGAGACAGAGAAAGGGAGAGACAGAGAGGGAGAGGGACAGAGGAGGGAGAGAGAGAGGGAGAGAGGAAGGAGAGAGATACAGAGAGAGAGAATGGAGGGAGGGAGAGAGAGAGAGACAGAGAGAGAGGGAGAGAGGAGGGAGAGAGAGGGGGGAGAGCGAGAGCATATGAGTGAGAGAGGGAGAGAGAGGGGGGAGGAGGAAGAAAGAGAGAGGGGGAAGGGAGAGAGAGGAGGGAAAGAGAGAGAGAGGGAGAGAGAAAGAGGGGGAGGAGAGAGAGAAGGGGGAGCGAGAGAGAGAGAGAGGAGCTGAGGGAAAAAGAGAGAGAGGGGAGGTAGAGAGAGCATGAGTGTGAGAGAGTGAGAGAGAAAGTTAAGGGAGCGAGCGTGTGAGAGAGAAAGAGAAAGAGAAAAGGGAGAGAGAAAGCAAGCGAGAGAGAGAGAGAGTGTGTGTGTGTGTGTGTGTGTGTGTGAGAAGAGAGAGACAGAGAGAAAGAGACAGAGAGAGAGGAAAGAGAGAGAGTGCGTGAGAGAGAGGGGAGAGACAGAGAGAGTGGTGGGGGAGGGGGGAGAGAGAGGGAGGAGAGGAGGGTAGAGAGAGAGAGGGGGGGAGAGGGGAGAGAGAAAGGGAGAGAGGGGGAGAGGGGAGAGAGAGAGAGAGAAGAGAGAGAGAAAGAGAGAGAGAAGAGAGAGAGAGAGACAGAGAAAGGGAGAGACAGAGAGGGAGAGGACAGAGAGGGAGAGAGAGAGGGAGAGAGGAAGGAGAGAGATACAGAGAGAGAGAACGGAGGGAGAGAGAGAGAGAGACAGAGAGAGAGGGAGAGAGAGGGAGAGAGAGGGGGGAGAGCGAGAGCATATGAGTGAGAGAGGGAGAGAGAGGGGGGAGGAGGAAGAAAGAGAGAGGGGGAAGGGAGAGAGAGGAGGGAAAGAGAGAGAGAGGGAGAGAGAAAGAGGGGGAGGAGAGAGAGAAGGGGAGCGAGAGAGAGAGAGAGGAGCTGAGGGAAAAAGAGAGAGAGGGGAGGTAGAGAGAGCATGAGTGTGAGAGAGTGAGAGAGAAAGTTAAGGGAGAGAGCGTGTGAGAGAGAGAGAAAGAGAAAAGGGAGAGAGAAAGCGAGCGAGAGAGAGTGTGTGTGTGTGTGTGTGTATGTGTGTGAGAAGAGAGAGAAAGAGAGAGACAGAGAGAAAGAGACAGAGAGAGAGGAAAGAGAGAGAGTGTGTGAGAGAGAGGGAGAGAGAGAGAAAAAGAGAGAGCGTGTGTGGGAGAATGAGTGAGAGAGAGAAGGAGAGATGGCATATGTGAGAGAGTGAGAGAGAGAGAGAAAGAGGAGAGAGAAAGAGAGAGAGAGTGTGTGTGAGAGAAAGAGAAAAAGAAAGAAAAAGGAGAGAAAGAGAGAGAGCATGTGTGCGAGAGAGTAAGTGAGAGAGACAGAGAGAGAGAGGAAAGAAAGAGAGTGTGTGTGAGAGCAAAAGAAAGAGAAAGAGAGAGACAGAGAGATGTGGGAGGGAGGGGTGTAGACGTGATGGGGACAGTAAAGCCTCAAACTCATTTTAAATTCCTTTCCGTTAATCCTATTATTATAACATAGTGACACAAAAATGAAAATTGCAATAAATTAAAGTTATTTTGGACGAGCAGTTTGAGAAGAAAAGCCTGATTCTGTTTCTGAATCT